ATGTGTCGGCCGGCCTGGCCCTCATGCCTCTCTCTCGTTGCGCCTTATGGGATATAATTCGGTAGCGATGGCTATTAGGATAAACGTACCGGACTTTGTGTTAATAATTAAGAGGAAAAAAAATACGACTACGTAAAAAGATGCCAGGGAGAAAGTTGCCGTGCTTTCGTCCTCTTCTGTTTCCTCCTCTATATACATATAGGCGTTTACTGTACAGGTGTACGTGCGTGCGTGCGTGCGTGCGTGTGAACTCGCTGCTCGAGCGCGTGAAAAAATGCGCGTGTACATTGGCTTTATATACACAATCGAAACGTTGGATCGAGCATGCGAGGAGCGTAACGATGACCCGAATCAACAAGTGAATATTTCCCTGCCTCACGACGACGACTCGAGCTCGTCGAGTATATTTACGTGTTCACATGCAGCGATCGACGCGAAATTTCGCCTCGCTGTACAGCTACTACTGCTACAACTACTATACTCGTTATTCAAGATTAAACGACGTGTTATACGCTACTACTATTTCGCGGCGAGTCATCGTCTTACATGCTGCACCGCTCGGCGCTCACGATCGCGGCTTATTAACTGATTATCAGTGCTTTTTAAAACTCATGCCGCTCGCTAATGGCATCCTATTACATTATGGCGCGCACGTAAGATTTTTTCTTCTTCTTTCGATCGCGCTTGCGAAAACTGCAACGCCGCGTGCGCTGCGCATATTCACTGGAATTGAAGATGATCGTTGCTCCTCGTCGGCCCTCGAGTAGTACACGAGTGATTTTTAATGCCCAGCGATAATTCACTCGCCGAGCTTTCTCTGCGTTGTAGTTTGCGGCCTGTACACATACTGCAGTGCGAATTGACGCGCTCGCATTAGCCGTGTGCGTATACGGACGCGAAGCTTCTTTTGCTCAGCAGCTCTTTTGTCTTTGTACGATCGTACGAGCTCGCGCGTTTCAACGAGCTTCGTCTCTGCGTTGTTGTTCCCTTTGAACTCGAAAAAGGGCCCCAGCCATTGTCTACGCCCGTCGCACACATCCGTCGGCGCATACGTACTGTCTCGTGGCCGTGTTACACACAGTCCACGCTCCGCCGCAACGATCGATTTCCTATCGACTTCTCCGAAACTCGCCCGGCCGAAGTATTTGCGCTCGAATTATGTTTCTCCTTTTAATCAATTTTCTTCGATCCAAATTAGTCGTACTTTGGACGCCGAGACGAGCAGAAACTTGTCGAATTTCCCCCAACCCATGGGGAAGAGAGTTTAGCGTAGTACGTAGCGTAGGCGTTGCGAGAATGAGCGAGCGCGCGAGGGAGAGAGAGAGAGAGAAAATTTTCGCTAATTTCGAAGCGTACAGTATAGCTTCGGGGACTTGCAGAGAAAGTCTGCGGTGTGCCTCGAGAGCTCGAGTAAAAGCTAGAGCTTTTCCCGCCGTGGCTCGTTTTCAGGGCAAACAATGACGGCTGCTCGCGCGCGCCTTTTAACATAAACGTAAGGTACCAAAACGGAAGAAAGCGCACTGCACATTTGACAAATTCATTTTCCTTCGCCGTGCATATACGCTTGGCACTTGTAATTTTTACATTTCAGACCTGTGCGCGAGCGGAGTTGTAGCAATTTCATCAGCAAAATAAACTACAGGAAATTTAAACAAAAGTGTATTTTGACTGGGAGCTCCTTTTGAGCTTGTCGTCTTATTTTTGGCCTGTCCAAATAACATCTCTTTCAGCTGCTGCTGCTGCATAACAAGTACCTTTGCTGGCTATAAGCTCACAAAAGCCTGAAAAGCGCGCGGTATGCTACTACTATATGTGCCTCGGTGTCATTAACTTCAAAGCCGCGCAGTTTTTCCAGAAAATAATATTTCTTATATCCTTTCGAGTCGTAAATTATCCTCTTCAAAAAGGCAGCAACAGCAGCAGTCAAAAAATAAAGGCGCACGTTAAACTCATACATATATACAAGGTACGAATTGCGGCGCGCGTGCACGAATATACATACTCGCGTATAATCACTCCTTATACTCTGTGTGTGTATAGGTAGGTATATTGTAAAATCACCAGCTCATCCTTACAGCTCGGTCGGTAGAATTTGCATTTCAGCTCGTTAACCTTTATACGTACGATATAGGCATCGAGGTATATAACAGCAGCAGCAGCAGCCTCGAGAGCTGCCTCACCCTGCCAGTTGAAGCGTGACTTTTGGAGAAAGAAAAAAAAGGAGCGCGCAGTCGAGTCGGAGCACGGCTCTGCTCTGCTCTGTGTATATTGCGCGCAGAGACGAGTCTTTCGGTCTGTCCGGCTCTGTCTCTCTCTCTCTCTCTCTTACAACGCGTTCGAGTGAGTATGAACGATTGCTCGATGACCCGCTCTCATACGTACATACATACATACGTGTGTGCAGATCTCAAGAAGCGATCACGATACACTCTTACATGCATATATGTATGCATGAGCATCCGTTTTGTCGAGGCTCCAACGGAACGTACTGTACGTGTGCACGTGCGTCTACCGAGTACAAACACATATATACAGTCGATCCAGAGATAACTGCCATATGCATACATTCAGTCATATACGTTTTTTTACATCCTCTATATAATAGGATTTTTAGTTCGACTCTGCTCTCGAGCGATGTATAGAGAAATGCGATGCTACTCTAGACTCGCGCGTCTCGAGATGAGCTGCGACCTAAATTCTGCAACGAGCAAAAAATATCCGAGCGCCGTATAGTAGTAACGTTTGTTCGCGCGTCGTAATGGAGCTGAAAAAAAAGTGCACCACTGGAACATGATCCGACGCGCAGACGAGAGGAAGAAAGAGAGAAAAAAAGCCGCAGCTTTCATCGGTGCGCAGCTTTTTTTGCTATTTACGTGCCGTACGTATATATAGGCGCAAGCTGTGTGGCGCATTAAAAGCCAACCGCAATAGCAGCTCCAAGAGTGGTACACACATAGTTAGTCGGGAGAGAGACGACGAGTTTCGACGAGCTTTTTCTCTTTATACGATGTACGTCGAAATATTCCGCGCTGCTGGGTGTATATACCTCGCGGGACGTCTGGTCTTTTGACGCGACAATTTTCCAGAGGCTCTTGGGTCTCTCTTATATCGAGGAGGATCGATCGCCATCGATGCTCTATACGAGCTCGATTGACAAAAGGCACGTCGGTGGAGCAATTATTGCGACTCGACTGTCGGCTTCGTCGCTCGATCTATATAATATACTTAAAGACGAGTCGAGACAAAAAGATACTGGACGAGACGATAGAGGCGTAGTATCGGGTTTTGCAAGAGAGCGACGTCGACTCGAGCTAGCTCGCACGCATCAAACGATTATAACGATTTAATCTTGTACTCTCGACTGTATGTACCGTAGATCGTTGCGTAATACACGACTCTTCGTTACGCAGAGCGAGCGATTATTATATTTTCAAGATTTCCTGCTAGTAGCACGACGGACTAATGGAAGAAAATGCAACGGCAGCAGCAGCAGCAGCTGCTCGTGCACAGCAAAGGATGCAAAAGTTCAAAAGACGTGCCAGCCCGCGTATACATATAGCTTATCGATGCAAATTAAAGCGTCAAAGCGTATAGTAGGTATACACGTGCTGCAGTGTGGTGCAGTAGCAGCGGCAAGTGCAGCGCGCAAAGCTCCCGCACATTCATATTAGGTGGTAGCGCGTGCTTGTATTATAGCAGCAGTAGCCGAGCTAATTTCGTTACGCCGAGCTCTACTGCGGCAGTAAAGGCAGCTTATACTAGGCTGCATTGATATAAAGTCTCGACGTGCGGCGGCGGCGGCATACTACTACCGAGAGTCTGCTACACGTATAAGTATAGGACGTGGCGCGGATCTGACGCGCTTAATTCCGAAACGCGCTCGATTCTTCAACTTGCGCGCACAGCACATAGAGATGCTTGACAGTGCCTTGAACCCGCGGCGCAACGGGACGCGCCCTACGCACACGCCAAATTCGATGTAATGTAACGTACTACGCTCGCCTCGCGCAGCAGCTCAGCTAAGCTCGCCAATGCTTCGTTTGTATTGAGTCGCTAAACGGGCATTTTTTCTCATTGTCCTTTTTGCGCTCGAATCGTGAAAGTATACGCGGTCGCGTCTAATTGCTCGCTCGTCGAAGCCGCTTTTTTAAGCGTTGCCAAGTTTTTCTCCGATCTCGTGTCGTCGCTCGACCAGGAAAATCGCCGGGAATTATACTATTCGCTCATTCAATTACGCGATACGTGCGCCAAGCCGATTGATTACGTCGCGGCGTGCACAACATAATTTTCGAGCTCATTACAGTGGTAAATCATCGCGACGAGCCGCGCTCCGCATCGCGTGCTACGCTTACGCGAGAGCCCAGGCCGACGGTTCCTTTTTTTTTTCATTTCTCGTTGCGGCTCGTGCGCTACTATACTCTCTGCGCTATCGGATGTGCACTTTATGGTCGCCGTAGGCTCGCGATATCGACTCTCTCTCTCTTGCTCCGCAATACGTATACACCACACGTGTATTTGGAATTTTTGTCTGCACGCGCCTTGCGTGCCCGTAATTGCATTGGACCCCTAAGCCAAGAAACCATTGATGCCGTTCCTTTTTTTTTCTTCTTTCCTTTAGGCCTTCCTTTTAAGCCGATACTTTATTAGCTTTATGCTGATTGGATTGGCGTACTTTTCTCTCGCTCTCTGCACTTTTCGTCCGTACCCGATATATTTATATGTTTGCAGGTATTTGTCCCGTATTCCCACACAATCTATAAATACTTTCAATGTTTTTTTCAAATATAATTTTCCACCCAACATTTTGTCGGAAAAATACAAAAAAAGACTCACTTTTTTTTAACTTTCTGTATAAAATTACGCATTTAAACTTGATCTCTTAACATTTCACAGAATTAAGCATCTCATTCATTACTATACTCGATAGCTAATATCTAAAAATTGACAATCGAAATCGAATTCGATTACAACTGAAACATCATTTTCCTATTTTTTTTCAGAACGAATTTCAACCGCAGAGTCATGTGTTCCGAGCGAAGCGACTGCGAAGGCCAAGAGTGTGTCAGCTATGTCACCAATCGGTGATAAAACAGGCGTCCTGCTGTCGAGGTAAGCTTACTCTCCACTCAAACTACCCGTTATATACGTGGATTTTCTACCCGTGCACTGTGTGCATGGGTGAGAGAGCTGCATACAAGTTGGATTCGAGCGACGGTCACATAGCTCACGGCTCTTTGTCGATGAAGTAGAAAACCTCCAAGCCGCGAGCGTAATATCGATTATTGTACACTTGATTCGTTTTCAAGATTCCATCCAATTACGAAAAATTTACCAATTCCTTTTCTGTTTCAGTTTGTAAATTCATCTGCCATAAAGCATGTGAGGAAAAGGTATGTTAAATTAAAACTGTTCAAATTCAACTCTCCCTTCATACATACAATTAAAAATTTACAATCAATGTAATAAACAACAAATTTTTAACGAGCAAATGTAAGAAAAATAATTTTCATTGACGAGTGCTTAAAAGTTTTCAATTGAGTCTTCTACTCAATTTTAGTAAATTCATCAATTGCTGTATTAATAATAAGTATATGTTGCCATAATCAGATGAGGTAAGTAAATGAAGAAAAAATTCGTCAAGTATAAATTATAATTATTTATTACAAATTTAAGCAACAGCCATTTGTGGGGCCACTGGCAGTGCTACTGGCGGGGCCATTTTAACTTCAGAAACAGGGGCAGCATACACCTGCTCTTCTTTGGGCTCCTGGACAATAACATTGTCAGGAAGTGGTTTCTTGGGTCCGTTCTTGCCTGCTGGATCCCAAGGCAACATAATTTTGACCTTGATTCCCAAAACACCTAGAACAACATTTATTGATTAAATAAAATCAGTAGAGTTTTTTAAGTTAAAAGAATTTAAACTGTTTATGTTACCTTGTCTGAGCAATACGTGGCGTGTGGCAGTGTTCACGTATTCGTTGGTGGGCTCACCAGAGTGGATCATGAGACCATCAACAAACTTCATCGACTTGGCACGTTGACCACGAAGTTTGCCACTGACGACTACTTCGCAACCCTTAGCACCAGACTCCATGATGAAGCGGAGTACTCCATAGCATGCCCTAAAAAATAATTTTTAAATTAATACAAGGCTTTGTAAATTAAATTACAACAAATTTTTAAAGTAGAATAAAATAACTTACCTACGGACAGCCAATCCACCGATCAGCTTGTATCTCAAAGATTCAGCTTGAGCTACAGCGCACAATCCTCTGGTGGCTACTTTCTCAGCATAAAGCTCAATGCTTCCATCCTTGAAACCAAAACGCTTTTGGACAAGAGACGTAAGCTCCCTTATCCTACGTCCTTTCTCTCCCAAAACACTTTGGGTGTGGGTAGCCATCAAGATGACTTCAGTTCTTTGGGGAGTGACACGCACTTCCACACCAGAGTAACCATCTTCAGCGAGTTCACGAGTCAAAAACTCGTTTAACTCAGCACGGAAAACTCCGTCTTGTACAAACTAAAAAAATGAATATTACATTTCATGTTTATTATCAGAAATATTCAAAATTAAAAATAAGAGAATTCATGCTAACAAAAACTGAGACAGTAGGTGGAAACGCGAGTATGTAGGCACATACACATCAAGTCACTCAAAACTGAAAGTTTTAATGTAAATATTGATAAGGTTAGGTTTTTTGCAATTTCGATAAGAATTTGTTCACATCAAAAAATCTAACATATTTTCACTAAGGAACGTAAGAAAAACTAGCGAATTTCTTCAAAAACATGTTAAAACGCATGTTGGCACGTGTGAGTGAATATAACCATAAAACACAGCAACGTGTATGACCGGCCGTCGCACTAAGAACAGCTCACAAATTCACTTGCAATGCAAAAACGATGCAATTCCGCGGTTGTATCGTAAATTATCAATAACAGCGCGTAACATTATAATTGCAAAAAATGAGTAAAATGTACCTTGCGTTTTTTCGAAATAGTTCCAGCCATTTTGGGAATTAGATAGAACGTAAGAATATCATGCGATGCACGGGCAAGCGCTCACAGAAAAGAGAGGCACATCATAAAGGTAGACTACAGTAGAGTCTCCACCGGCCACCACAGTTGAGTTCTTCTTCCTCTCCTTTCTTCAGTGGCGCCAACTATGAGTGAACTTTTCGTCGTACATACGGTCACGGGTTTAAGAATGGGCTCGAAATTAAAATTGATTAAATGAAGAATAAACCTTAGAGTTTTTTATTATATTTTACTAGAAATTTGTAAAGAATTTCAGTTTGAGTTAGTTCAGGATTATATAAAAATCGTTTGATAGAAATTAATATATTATAGTATTTACTGTGGGTGCTCGTTTCAACGATGAGTATGCATTGCGTTGCGCAGTGCGACTCGAAGCGACCTCCCGACTTTGCGGATACCACGCCAACTTTCTTGCAGTCACTTAGGTTACCGACTTGAACAATTTTGCAGTTGTAGTGTAAATTTTAAAGTGTTAGCAACATGAAAGCCAAGGGCGATGTAAGTAATTTTTTAATCACTTGCATGTTTACTTCGGTAACAAGTGTCACGTAAACAAATTATAAACAAATTGAAATTTTTAATAACAGTTGAATATAGAGTGTAAATATTGAGTGTTCTTTATTTTTTGTTATTAGTTTTTACTACATTCATAAATGTTAATACTCTCACTTAAATATATAAGTGAAGTTGAATTAGAATTTACTTTTTCTATTCATTTCAAATCATATTACTTTCTATTTAAAATAAAGTATTACATTGAATGTTGTCATTTTTGAATTTATCAAACTACAAATGTTATAATTTTCAATAAGTTTTATTGTTTACAAGTATTTGAAGTAAATTTTTCTCATTGCTAATTGTAATCAAATTTGATATTTTCAGCTTAAGGAATATGAAGTCATTGGGCGTAAATTGCCCACTGAGAAGGAGAAGGAGACTCCTCTTTACAAAATGAGGATCTTTGCTCCGGATCATATTGTTGCTAAATCTCGTTTCTGGTACTTCTTGAGACAACTGAAGAAGTTCAAGAAGACTACTGGTGAAATCGTATCTGTCAAACAGGTATTGTCATACATTCATTTAATTATATCTATTAAAATTTAACATGTCACTTTATAATATTTTCATTTCTTTTTCTTTAATATTAGATCTCTGAAAAGTCCCCGACCAAGATTAAGAACTTTGGTATCTGGCTGAGGTATGATTCCAGATCTGGAACTCACAACATGTATCGTGAATACAGAGATTTGACTGTCTCTGGTGCTGTCACTCAGTGCTACAGAGATATGGGTGCTCGCCATAGAGCTCGTGCTCACAGCATCCAAATCATCAAAGTGGAGAAGGTCAAAGCAGCTGATTGCAGAAGACCAAATGTCACACAGTTCCATGATTCTAAAATCAGATTCCCATTGCCAAAACGCATCCAACACAGAAAACAAATGCCTGTGTTCAGCGTTAGAAAACCAAGAACATTTTTCTTATAAATTTGCCTTATTGTAAAGGAAAATAACACCAGAATGAAGCATGTTATATTATTGTCAATGTAACCAAAATTTTGGTTTATTGCATAAATATTGTTATGTGCGTGGAATCGTGAGAAATATGATTCTGACAATTTATGACTGCACATTGTTCTAGTTGCTAAGACTAAGTTAATTTGTTGTATCAATAAATCATTTTCTATGAAATTTGTTACAAATTAAATTTGTTGCTTCTTATTTTCATTTTAGATTTTATGAATGAGATGATTATTTTTCAAATGAAAACTTTTAAGCACTTATATTGAGTTATTTATAGTGATAATTATAAATTTTTGTATTTTAACTGAAAGATGCTTGCTCCAAAGTTGTGCTCTCTTTTTCTCTTCATAATGATTGATATTGTTCCAATGTTAATTTTAAAAACATTGTGCAATTTTCTATAGGACGGAAAAAGAAGGAAAACATTAAAACGTTAAACTAGAATCGTTCAGCATAGACGAAGATCAAGAAGTACTTTTGGTTTTTATTCAAAGTATACCCTATATGTATTTGTCGAAAAGGACTTGTATTGTATTTCATTGAAGCGTGACTGCGCTCACGATTGCGAATGCGACAACTGATCCCAGGACCAGAACGCGCGTAATGTGTCTCGGGTGCTTAATGTTATAGGTATACGTATGTACACATACTACGTGCCAACGTCTTAGATTACCGACGACGATACGATCCCTCCTGGATTTAATGAACTACGAACTTGTAAAACAATGTATGCCAGCGGAGCAATTTTAGATGTTTAATAATATAAGTTCAGCTCCTCGCATGGAGGAAGTTTGCGCGCGAACTAGGAACGAGAAGTGCGCACAACAGCGTCAAAAACGAGACAGAACGAAAAGTGCAACAGAAAAAAAAAACAGACATTTCCTTGGTTGTTGCGAGCGTAATATATAACTGGCAATGTGTGCATACAGATACAATGTGTATATGCGCGCGCGAGGTGTGCGTGCCGTCACGATGCGCTCGGCTGCTGCTTTTTTCTCTCCTTTTGCATTTTGCGGAATAGAGAGAGAAGTGCACGTACGCGATTCTCGTAATGGCAGGAAGAGGAGAGGAGCGAGAGCAAAAGGAGATGAGGAAGATTGCTCTCGAGTGTAGTAAGTAGTTGTATACGCAGTTGCAGTAGTTGCTGCACAGCCGAGAGAGAGAGAGAGAGAGAGAGAAAGAGAGATGCTTTGATCATACCAGTCAAAGGAAGATTGAAGCCGTACATTATGATAAAGAGGTAGTCTTTGCGAGTCAGTCTCGAGAGAGGAGAGAGAAAGATTGAATGAAAAACCAAATTAAGACAATCGCCTGGGCTCGACGTCGATTAGGACTCGGTCGGCGATAACTCTGATGTTTTTAAAACGTTGGGTTTTTTTCTCTCTTGAAAAAAAGATTAAAAGAAAAAAAAGAAAAAGGTGCGGATAATTACTATAATACGATCGAACAGACATCTTGATGCTTAAGGCAAACGCGAAATTACTCTCACACTGTAACTGTTGATTTTTTGCTCGAATTTGACTATTCGGGTGGGCTATTTGAAATTGGCTCACACAATTCTAGATACCCCCTAGAAAAACCTAGTTTTCCCAAAAAAATTGCAAGTACGAAATTGCAAAATTCGCGCACGGATTTCCCCTGGATAAGCACTTTATTTTTGCACTTCATTCAAACGTGACGTGCTCTGCATTATACGTACGAGCCTGTGTGTATGTGTGTGTGCTCTCTGGATATATCTAATTTGAATAATTATTCATGCGATTTTCGTATGTATAATTAGCCCAAAGGCCACCAAGGTGTATTATAAAGGACCTATACCGGTATATAAGGTAGCTGTGGTCGAGCGCACAAAATGTTTCGAGCACGACGCCGTCGTCGGAGGAGTCCGCTTAAAAGGAAATTATTTGCATCTTTTACGAATTCTCCGCGGCTCTCTGTGCTCTCTGTAAATTTACTCGAGTGGCGCGTGAGAAGAGGAGAAAGAAAAAAAAGCCGAACGAACACGGTCGAAGGCGCGAGCGAGGGTGTTATATAGAAATCATTCAATACTTTATGAAGCACATTTTTAGCTTCTGCGAGATGGCGAAAAAATTCCGATATACGTATTGGCGTCAGCTCGAGTTTATAAGTCGACTCCTCTCTTTTTTTTTCTGCGTTCTCAATTAAAAGTGCTGCAGCAGCAGTGATTCGCGTTATTGCAGGCGCTCGTTCGAATCGAATGGCCCCAGCGAGGCGAGTTTAACATGCACGCGTATGCGTACACATATACATGTACGCAAAAGAAAAAGAGAGAGAGAGAGACGGAAAAAAACCAAACCTACCCCATTGGCGCTACATAGCTCCAGTTTGTATTATCCATAAAAGCTGAGCGTCCGAATGGTCTCGGATCGTTGAAAATAGTTTGCAGGAGCGTCGCAGGCGTAATTAACGCAGGGATATACGTTTGGTGCCGGTACTCGCACATACCTATACGTTTCTCGTGCAGGTACACGTACAGAAGCGTGAAAATAAATCGATTACACGATCGCAAATCCGATGGAAGCTGCGCGACATTACGCGCGGGGACTGCGCAGTGCAGTTTTAAAAAGCGATCGAGTGCCGATATCCAAAAGGAATCGGGAATATAAGGCTGTGCGCGCGGCAATGAAAGCCACGTAATTACCTATACGTATCGATCCGCAGCGCCTCCAATGCTGAACGAAGAAAGGACGTGCTGGAACAATTTAAGATGATATAAAAATTGCAGGCCGTGCATTATAAGCGGCGCGGGCCATGCAAAACTCGTTTTTTTCGCTCTCTATACATGTAGTATATATAGCTCTCGCTCGGGCCGTTAAGCTCGACGACGATTATAACTGCGCTGTACCCAACGCGGCTGCTGCTGCTGACGTCGTATAGCACAAAGTCGGGCGCGATCGTTTTGTGAAATCTGCCCGAGCGCTGCGGAACGTAAACGTAAGCGACGTGTGGGTGTAAGCTGCGGCGCGCCAACGATCGAGCGAGCGCCTGTTTATGTACATTATATGCAGAAGAAACAACTGCACATGCACACACGTGGCTGCGGCGGCGGAAAAAGAATGAGACGACGACTGCACAACGAGGAAGAAAAGAAAGAGAGAAGGAGGTGGAGGAGGAGGACACAAGGAAGAAATTCTTGACTTTCGCGGGAACGGATAATATTCTCTCTCTCTCTCTCTCTTTTGGTCTCTCGGAGAGGCGGCAGAGTAAGTAAGTAAGCAAAGGCGTGCTCGCGAGCGCGACCGGAGAAGAGAAAAGAGATACGGCAGCTTGGGTCGTCGTCGTCGTCGTTGTCGTCGTCATCGTCGTCTTTTGCTAGGCTATTCGTGACCCAGCGATATGTATACAGAGAGAAAAGAGTTAGCCGAGCTAGAGTCGGTCCAAGTATTTGCTGATGCTGCAACAAGATCCTAAAGTAGGTGGAATAACGATCGAAGGCGTGGTTTAATGGCCATGTGTGCGCATACGTTACGAGCGAAAAACTGCCGCCGCTACAACAACAACCTATACTGCAAATATATTGCAGCCCCATCAGTTCGATGCTAATCGCTATTATTTAAGCCGACGAGGAAGAGAGAACGACCGATCGCGTAACATTCGCTCGCTACATACATTATATATAGCGGCTGCTGCTGCGGCTGCATTTTTCATTCAAATCGGAAATTCTTAAAAGTCCGCGTGTACGCTCCGACCGAACAACAACGACCATACGGTGAAAAAAAAAGCGCACCTATATAGACAGCGACGAAGAAGAAGATCGAGGGACGAAGGTATATAGCGAGTCGCGACGCGGGTTCTGGTTTACCCGGTTCTGCGGAATCGCGCACTGCAGAGAGGGAGAGTAAAAAAAAGCCCAAGCGTGTCCTCCCTATACATACCATATATACATATACCTACACACGTAAGCAGGAGGCACGAGGCGCGAGTCGCGCAGCTCGCACCAACTACTGTATGCAGTTGCGCGGCATATAATAATGCTTAATATGGCCATGTCTCTCAACGCGAGTCGATTCTTTCGAGTATTATTGCTCCTCGTCGTCGTCGTCGTCGAGGACGAGCTGCTGCAGTACGATAGGTCGTTGCACTTACGCATGTATGCGCGTGAATATATATAGCGACATTGTATATCCTAGATGCGGCTGCTACTCTCTGAGCCTTGCGTTGTATACACGCAGCCAAGCGCGCTTACGCATGCAAACTTGCGGTTTTCCGCAGATATGCCCGTGCGGGGGGTACCTAAGACCTAAGACTTGGGCGCGCGTGCAAGACAACGGCCCCCCTAATAGGCCCTCACTCTATTTCGTGACTCGTGCATACGTACACGTGAGATTCGCACCAAATAGTATAATTCCTTTTCTTTTTCTTCGCTCTATAGCTAATCATAACTGCTGCTCGTATACCTATCGTCCGAGATGGGACGCTTCTATTTAACGGTACGAACGACCCTGACAAAACGACCGCTAAGGTCGCGCGCGATCCAACACCGCTTCGGTTATGCGCGTACTCGCTCCGCTTCATGGACGACGTGTGTAATAGCTGTTACGCACGTCGATACTATCTATAACGCGAGTCCATTTCTTCTGGCCATTCAACAAAGTCGTCTAAGGCAGTCGCCGGAATAGCTATGTGCGACACGATGAGTTCTGCTACTTAATAGCTACTTCCTATCCCATGGAGGCGCGGATGGTGCGCAAATTCCACGGAATCGCGACTCGACGCGTCTTACATGGGGTGCTTGCAAAACGAGTATATAGTAGTATAGTAGTTGACGTTTCTGTACGTGCGAGGCGACTATAGGGGAGGCAAAAATGCCCGTTACACGCGACGACCAAGAGGAGCAGAGGCCGTCGTCGCTAGTCTAGTCTGGCGCGTGCTCGCGCCCGTTGTGAACCACCGACGACCTATACAACTGTTCGAAGTCGTTGTTTTCATGCTTGGCAATACATTTCTGCGGGGAAAAAATCAAAATCGGAGCAACAAAGAAATTATGCACGGTAACGGTCCTAGCCACCGATCGCCAATCAAGAGGCATTACTAAGCTGAAATCGCGTCACGACGAGCTGCTTCGCAAGATCCTCGACTGTTTGTTGTGCTTGCTTATA